GCTCATGAGTTTAATCCCTCTGTAACTAGCACAATTCTGAATATCCTTTTTATTCTTGTAAATAGGTACTAAAGTATTTTTTCTCCAATCATCAGGCATTTTATTGGAGCGCAAAATCTCATTGTATAACTTAGTAAGCCATAGCACCCCACCTTCACCCAAACACTTTCAAACTTCAATAGGAATACCATTAGGTCCAACTGCTTTATTATTTTCTATTTTCTTGAGAGCTTCCTTAACTTCACCGACTCAAATTCTTCAATAAACATTTTCTGCAACTTTAAGTTATATAAAAATATTCTCTCAGATAAAATTTAATGTATAAATTTACCGGTTCTAAAAAATCACCTACATTCTTGCAATTGATCTTAATAATAGCATCTTTTGGTTAAAATCATTTCTTAAAATTTAAATTTTTGAACTGAAAATTTTACGGAGATAACAAAACGAAATGAAAAAAATTAGTTTAACTAGAATGAGGGCGTGCGGTGCAGTTTGGATGCATTTCAAAGGCGAAGGGTTGAAAATTAGAAGATCAGTGGTAGCATAATTGAAAGTCCATTAACAGTGGGATCCAACGCAGCTTCGCATCATTCTAGTGGGCTCGATTCAATGGTCAAAAGTCTTTTTTTTGTTTAATTTTTTGAGTAAGGATGCTTTTTTGTCGCAGCAGCATGGGCTTCTAGTTGGAAAATTTTTTTTGCGTGTATCCGATTAGATCAACATTTGTAACTAATACAACCAACAGGGGAGCAGAAGAGGCTAGTTTTTTATAACATATTAAACTGAGATTCAAATTCTCATTGAGAGATATGCTCATATTTAATACTCAACAATATCTTGAATAGGATTACTTCCAATGGATTAATATACTTGCGTAGGAAAAAAATACATTTATAACTAATGCATGCGAGACAGAAGTGCTACGTACAACAGCAAACTAGCGGAGATCTTTAGCATGCGCTCTAAAATGAACATCCAAATTCTTAACCCTTCATACAATACAATAGAGGCAGTTATGTGGTAAAAATTAACGGGCTCTTTTATAAGTTTGAAAAAAAGATCCTGCTCTAAAGAAAAGTTACTTGATCGCGGTTAATATTGACATCTTTCGGCTTGATATTTTGAGATAGGTCTGCAAAATGGATCCCTAATCACATCAAATTGTATTAGTGAGTTGATTTGTCAAATGTTGTATAATGATTCCTTCTTGTTACAAACGAAGCCAATGCTATGAGGGAATAGGCAGTGGGGTAAAGCGGCATGAGTATGGATTGAAGACGTCAAGCTCATTGCGGTTGCTGTATGAGCTATCAGCACATTGGTTATGCAGGGCATTTCAATCAAGTGCCTCTTTTTCTTGTTCTTTGTATTTACGTATTCCAAAGTTTGTGCTGGGAACCCAGGTCTGTTGTTTACTTTTTTGTCTCCAGTATCCATCCTAAATGAATTAGCTGTTGCGTTTCTTATCAGAAGTTTTGTTTTGTGTGCAGAAAATTCTCCTGCCTTGTGGTCTGCCCCCAGAGAGAGAAGAAGATTGGGAATTGCCATCTGGATCACATAGTGGATCGTCACTGCCGGTTGTAGCATTGGACCATTTATCATATTATGTTGGTCAAATGGTTGTATTACTTGTATGGCACTGATTAGAGTTTGTTTTGTCCCCTGTTAGGGTTCTAGTGGCTCTGGCATCATTTGCTCTGGAGCTCAGAAATTTAGACAAGAGGATAATGTGCTTACTGCTTTGTTTATTTATAGTGTTGTCTTAATGTTTTCCACAAGAGCAAATCCTTTCTAAACTCAATATTGCATTTCATTATCGTGAATAAAATTGAGAAGGACATGATATCATTGGTGTTTTTGTTTATATATTGAGGGCATATTCGTTAATTTCTTGTCACAACTCACAACGCTAATCTCCCCTTTTTCAAGCCACTGTTATCCTCTTATCATTCATATTAAATTACAAATTAAAAGAAAATCACTCTTGAAAAAGTTCAGTTAAGAAAAACTGTTGAAATACTGTTCATTCAAGTTTTAATGAGTGTTTGAATAAAAACCAAATCATGATTTTAAAAGTAATTTTGTAGTATACAAAGTAAATATATAAGAAGAGTTTTATTTCGATTTGCATCAAAGTACTTTTTAAAAATGCTTTTTGATTGAACCAAATACTTTTATTAATATAAGAGCTAATTAACTGATTTGAGTGAATTACAAAAACTAATTCACCAGCCAACACTGTTTCTAGTAAAAAGAGTTTTAATTGCTTGACCATGGAGTTTTGAGTTTGAGTTTATAGGAATGCAAAAAATGTCTTTGTGAGAGCTACCTCTTATTGGATCTAACAGTGCTCAAACCTGAGTTAATTAGATAGTAAGATAAAAAAAATTACTTAATTATGAGTTTACAACAAACACATAACATTATAAATATAATTTTATAAGCTGAATAAATTAATTTAATAAAATAATAAATATAAAAGACGAAATTGATAAAAATCTTATCTTTAGTACTCAAAATTAACTGGCGGCTAGATTCTGCATTATAGGACAAGGGACGTACTAATGTTGTCAACAAGCACTATTGTTGCTTCAAGTGTCCTATTTGAGGAATTGATTACTGGGCAGTATATATCTAAACGCAAAAGGAAAACCACAATTGTAACCCTAATTTTTTAAATTGCAACGAGGATTGATGGGTAGCAAAGTTTGAATATATTTGATTTTTTCCAAAAAAAAATTTTAAGTTATGTCAAATAACACCCAAAAGTCAAATACAATAGTGACATGATTTGTAATTGCTTAATGTTTTCAATTACTATGTGCAGCTTTCATCAGTTCAGCACGTTAAATCATGTCTGTGAAAAAAAAAAGTCATATATATTCATAATAAAAATTTCATAATATTTTATATTTTTCTTTCATGTTTAAAAATATATTGAAATGATACCTATACGCACAATTTTGGAAAAACCAGTATAAAAGGTGGAGCTAACGAACATGAATATTAGTTAATCTTAATATCATATTATATATAATTTAAATTGGATATTGAAATATAAAAATATAAAAAAATATATTAAGTCAAAAAATTTAAACAATTCAAATTCAAATTCAAAATATTCATTGAGCCGAAGGAAAATTCCATTACCTGAAGACGGATGTAATTTGACGAAGGAAAAAGGAAGGCGCAAGTGGCGCGTGTATCGTTAGCGGTTGAAAATTGGCGGGTAAATGCCAGCGTGGCCTGAGCCTGTAAAAGACTTCACAGCGGATCTGCTTAGATCACTTTTACTTTTTTCTTTCTCTAAAAAAAAAAAAGGGGATCAGGTAATTTTAGTTTTAATTTTAATTTTAGTTTTTACAATAAGATACTGTCTCCGGTTTTTAATATAAAAATTAGTTAATTAATTTAAATAGATTAAGAAAATTAGTTAATTTAGTTATTTATAATAAACAAATGTTGTTTTTTCCCCTAAAATATCTTTAATAATCAAATATATTAGTTAAAACTACTATTATTACGAGGATTACGTTAAAAAAAAAGGATAAACATGAGAGATAAAATATATTAAAGTTTTATATTTAGGATCAAAATAAAAATTAAATAAGCTCTTATATTAAAGATAAGGGGTAACATTAAATATTGCATCTATGCGGACAATTGTCTCCTGGATCCTATATTACATTAAGTAATTAAGCAAACTATATTATCTGTGACTTTTAAATATAATATAATTGGACAAAACTCAGGGAAAATAATAGAAACATACATGCCGTGCTTGATCAAGCTGGTTTTAAAAAATATTAAATGGTGTGGGGAGTTCATGGAAGCAACCCCCCATGAAAATCACTTCCCCCCCCCCCCCTCCTTTTTGGGTGTGAGAAAATGACAAATAAGCACCCTTTTTATTTTATAACGTCAAAATCTTTGACATTTAGCTAGAGGTCTCAAACGACCCTTATAAGCCCATATAGGTTTGGGCTTATAATTCTCTTAATATTAAATTTTCGATGTTTCTTTTAAGTTTTATTCTCACTGATCAAGCACAAGGTTGCGCCTGAAGGCTCGAGTAATTTTTTTTCCCATAATGCATTATCATAATACGTGTATAAACTCAAAAGCATCAAATCAAGCTCCAAATTGAATAATACAAGCACAATTTAAACAACAAAATATAAATTATCTTAAAGTATAAATTTTAAATCTAAAATTAAATATTATTTAGTATTCATCTTTATCATCAAAAAATAAAGAGAACGCTTCAAATCATCGGAAAATAAATTTTCATTTTGCTTTCAATCATTTCTTTAAAATTGAATTTTTAATTTAAAATTTTAAGGAGATAAGAAAACGAAATTCAAAAGATTAGGATACTTCGTGTACTTTTTCCTCAACAATTCATATACATATGATAAAAACATTTTAATTATAAATTTATGAAACACGTTTTTACTTGAGTCACAAGCTAACTTTACTCCTGGTCCCCAAAAAAAAAGTGGGAGATAATGAGAATTGTTAATGGGGAACAGGTCTAGCTTGGATCCATTTCAATGGATTCAAAATTAGAAGATGAGTGGGAGCATGATTGAAACTTGAAAGTTTATTGACCTCTAGGCTCTGCCTCATTCTAATGGGCTTATATAAATATTCAGAGTTTTGGTTGGAGCATGCATGGGCTTGAATTTGGCAAATGGTAATTGATGCAGCAAAATTGTTTTGGTAGTATATTGTACACATAAAAATAACTAATTCATGCTTCGTTCCCTGTGACAGCTTTGATGGCAGACACTAGTAACTAATTTAATCGATCATTTATGGTTTTTCAATGCAAAGCTATGGATATGATTTCCGAACTTCAAATTTTAGTCCCTAGCTTAATAACATCGTTAATTACAGGGTGATTAAATTAATAATCTGGACAGTACCCAGGCTGAGGTTTGCCAAATATGCACGTGGAATATAATGCAATGCAACATATATCGCGTTGTTCAGAGTTGGAATCAACGCAACGTTTTTTATTGAACTTCGTTATCGTACAGTCTGGATTTTTTTCATTAGAAGGCAACTTCATTAAACAAGTAAAATGATACAGTAAGAAACGCTATTGAGCCCCTTGCATATGATACCCAAGACAGACACAAAGAACCCAATAAAACTGACGCGAAGCAAACTCTTAATACAAACAGCACAAAGAAAAGAAAAACTCTGAGCTCCAGCAAAAGCTGATGCACGAAACGAGCCATAATGCTGCCAGAAGGAACTAGGAAGACCAACACGAGCAAGAACTAAGGCGACCACTTGGGTAATTAGCTCCAAAGCTAAACACAAACCACCTTGAGGGGCCACAAAGAAGACAAGTCTGCTACAGAGAGAGAATCCCAGAAAAGAGGGGCTGGCACAATTGAATGCAAAATCACAGTAAGCATGGAAACTAGCAGCAGAAGAAAGGAAGATGCAACCTTCAATGTGAAAAATGCTCCCTCCATTCTATATTTGCAACAATGGTTCATTAATGTAATGTAATGTCACTTGGTTATAATAACCAACCCCGCTTTCTTGATCCCGAGCACGTTAAATATTGTAAATCAAGTACTTTGCAATTGCTTCATCCCTTCTCCCACCTGGTATGGATAGGAAGGGCTTGAACCGTCCCATCTGGAAAGCAATCAATTCTTCATTGTACCGAAACCAAAGGGAATGTAGACTGCGAAGAATATGTACTGAAACCAGCAGTGGTTGCTTGCTTTTCTCAAGTATCCTTGGTTCAATCATGGAAAGACGAGGAAACATGGTTTCCACATCCTCCTTTGATAATTTGACGACGTCTGGTAGCTTATAGAGCTTTGAAATCTCTTGGAACCTCACCATCATATGATCCGTCATCGATGTATTGCACACGACGCGTGTTATGTCTTTAGTTTCTTCACAGACGGTAGTTTCCCTAGCAGTGTATGGTGCATATCGTTTTTGCAATCTGCATGTTGTATAAAATATAAATCTTTGCGGGTAGGGCCACCCATCCATTGTGCCCATTTAAATTATACTGCATAAACAATGAACCTCAATTGAAACAATAAATACGAAGTAAATATGCTAGCTCAACAACACTTTCTTTCGATCTTGGCTATTTAAATTAGGGAAAACCATATTGGAGGTACTTATATTTTTTTTCAATTTTCAATTTGGTACCTGTGTGGTTTTTGTTCTTAACTAAATCTTTATTTTTCTTCTATTAACATCATTAATCCTTATGTAGAGACTAAAAATATCAATAGAACAAAGTTATAAGAGCTAATGTTGCTAAAAAGATAAAATTAAATGTTTAATTAAAGGGAAAAAAACACATAGGTACTAAATTAAAAATTGAGAGAAAGTATAGGTACTTTCAATATGGTTTTCCCTTTAAATTATTCTCTAAATGACAGTGTATTGTCATAAACAATAAACAGACCTAGTAATAGGAGTATAAACAATGAACCTCAAATGAAACAGTTAACAACAGAAGAAACCAAGGTTAGGCCATGAATCGAATGGAATGGCATAAACCCAGGATAATAACATGCACAAGGAGCACAGTTTCTGAAATGCTACATAAACATGGAAGACGGCAGAAAAAGAAAAGGAAGACGCAAATTTCAATGTGCAAAATGCTCTCATCATTCTACATTTGAAACAATGACTCGTTAAGGAAGTCACAGATTGCAAAAGATCAGAGCAAACTTAATTTCCAACTTAGAACAGTGAAATTTTCCGACACCAGCAGAATGCAGCAGGGAAGAGCACTTTCATGCTTGAACTCTAAAATTTGTCATCAAAAGACGCAACCTCCATTCTGTTGAGTAACGCGGTTCCACCCAACGGGTGGAATCTGACTCAGTCTTCAACAAAAATCTGAACATATAGAAGCAGAGACTTTTGAATTTCAAAAAGAAACGCAAAATACGGTAGTAAAATATTGTAATTTGGATTCTCAAAATTGTAAAAAATGCGAAATATGAGCATAATAAATTTGTTTATTGTAAGAATAACCTCAAGACCTGTTTATATATATAGCCACGTCGTACCTCCTTGCAAGAATCCCATTAACCATATTGAGAAAAAGGAAAAATTAATATATAACTTCCTGTAATTTCACTTCATTAGAAATTAAATCCATATAATTTTTATTTTATCATGATTTTCTCAATTATGTGCATGAGTTTTTATGCTCATAATTTGTTAATTTGTTAGAAAAACACATTAGTAGCCAATGACATGGCTCTCACTCGTGTTCAACAAGATTAATTTTACTATATGGATATAAATAAAATCAAAACCAATCAAATTATAGTATACATGGATGCAAGATTACAATGAACAGCATAATAATTTTTTATATTGATAATAAATAAATTATAATCCATCATTTTATTTTTGTATAAAAAATTCTTTTACTTTTGTATCTTATTGCATCTTATTGCAACCCATATGTAATTTAGTCAATATCCATATCAATCATAATTAACAGATTATGACCATAAGGACTAATTCTTATAATTAAAGAATTTGTAAGAAGTTACTACCTCTGATTCTTAATATAAGAACTAATTGAATAATTTGAAAAGATTGAGGAAACTAGTTGAGTTTGTTATTTATAATAAATAGCTATTTTTTTCTAAAATATCCTTGCTAATCAAATGTATTGACTAGAAGTATCGTTATTACAATGATTACTTTGGAAAAAAATAAATAAATATGAGAAACAAAATAGAATGGGGTTTTATATTTATAACCAAAATAAAAATCAAATGAGCTCTTATATTAAAAAACAAAGATAATAATTAAAAAAAATCAGAATCAGATTTCTAATTAGGTATAACAAAACCATAACAATCTCAAATTAATTTTTCTTTGAAAAAAAGCTAGAAATAAAACCCCCATGATCCAAGCAATGCGACAAATTGTATATATGGAAATTAGAGTACATACCTCTACGTGCGAACGAAATAAGACGAACAACATTGACGTTGACCAAAATATGCATCTTAATCTCTTATAACACGATGTGGAACATGAGCAATTTTGTGCCAATCCTCCCCTGTTCCCTCCTTGCATCTCTTCCCTAACTCCGAATAACCATAAATTTCCAAATATTTCAAATTTGTGAGGCTCTGAGTGCTCATCGGAAGTGACGTCAACTTGGGGCATTGAGATATATACAATGACTCAAGCGACCCAAGGTTCCCCAACCAGTTGGGCAAGGACACTAAATTTGGGAGATAAGACAAAAATAACGATCGAAGGGTCATAATATGCTCTAAAGCATCATGGATGTCTTTCACCTCCCCACATCCTTCAATAGCTAGATGTTCAAGGGCTATGAGGTGTCTAAAACCTGCAGACAGTTTGAATTTACGACAGTTAATAATATAAATCCTTTTAAGAAAACGCAACCCGTGCGACGCTTCCTCTGTTATTGTCTCAAGGTTTTCACATAGAGCAATTTGAAATTGTTCGAGAGCTTTCAAGTTGGCGCGTCCAGTTGGGAGAACTTTAAGTCTGCGAAGCCCGAAAAATCGTAGATGTTTGAGGTGCTCAAGGCCTACTAGCATCTCTTCTGGAAAGGAAGTCCACTTTCCATCTCCATTCAAATCAAGGCGTTCAAGATTGGGCAGATTTTGAATTGAACCAACTAACGCCCTGCTACATCCATTTGTAACTTGTAGTTGAGTGACGGAGGGAAGTAAAGGCAAGTTTAGTTGCGGACAATGAGTGATGTCCAACTTTGAGAGACGTGGGAACATGCTGTCTGCATCCTCCCTTGACAACTTTACAAGGCTCTGTAGCCTTGACAGCTGTAGATCTTCCAGAGCTTGGAAACCTCTGTCAACCCATCAACATAAGATTCCTCATCTATATATTGCACGTGATTCATGTCCCACAAGCTCAGACGCTTCAAAGACGGAAGTTTTGCCAGGCACGAAACACATACAAGATTTTTACAACCCCTGAGTCGTAAGGAAATTAAATCCTTGACCGTAGGATTAATCATCCATTGTGGGAGTTGGGTGCCAAGATATCCCCTTGCAACCAAACTTTTAAGTTGCGCATGAGGTTCAAGAGCTTCAAGAATTTTCTCCTCGTTTTCTTGTAAGTGGGATTGCTCATTCCTTTCCCAAGACAACTCCAATTCATTAAGGCGCTTATCAGCCAAGTTGGCCTGTTTGGCATCCGTCATGCTTTTCACTCTCTCCAAGTGCTCAATGTGGAGTGTTCCTTCAAGTTTCAAATTTCCTACTTCTTCTAATAAGAACCCTTCCTGCTCACCGACAATATATGCACTTAAGGTCTTCAAGCAAATTAGTTGACGCATCTCAGGGGCCAATCTAGATAACGACCGACACTCTTTCAAATGTAGATGACGAAGAGATTTTAAGCACTTCAACTGATCAGGCAACTTTTTGAGAGACCCACACTTGTTCAAATTCAAAATTTGCAAATTCCACAATCTACATATCGAATCAGGAAGCATTGTAAATTTACCACGAGAAAGGTTCAAGTACCTCAAATGTTTTAATTGGTCAATAGAAGATGACACCTCACTTGAAAACTTGAGGTCAAGTGCCCGCAAATGATAACATTTCAACAATCTATCACAAGTGTCAGTTTCAAAATCATAATGTTGTAGCATTATAAATGTTTTTAAGGACTTGACCTTGTTCAAATTAGATGACCATAGCTTAGGAAATTGGTCAATGTTATCAATGAGAGGTGATGAGTTCTTTCATCAAGTGGCCATTCTCGAGTGTTTTGCTATAACATTCTTCCCCCATTACAGACTGGGCTAAGTCATGAACAAGGTCATGGATCTTGAACCATGTGTCGTATGCAGATTCATCTATCTCAACATCCACAAAAAATGACTTTAAATATAATTCATTCCACACTCTGTCACCATCATCTTCCACTTCAAACCCTCCATTCGTTGAAAGGAACCCATTAGCCATCCAAAGTTCTATTACTTGTTTCTTACTCATCCTTCGATCTTTGGGGAACACTGCAAGGTAGGCAAAACACCGTCTTAATTTTGCCGGTAAATTCAAATAACTTAATCTTAAAGCAGGCAGGACAGAATCTTCTTCCTGTGGTAAATTCCAAATCTCACTTTCCTTAATGCGGAGCCACTCTTTTTCACTACTCTGGAAACGCAGAAGACTTCCTAAAGTTTTAGCAGCAAGTGGAACTCCGTTGCATTTCCTTACTATATCCCTCCCTATAGTTATAAGCTCTTCGCGTTCCTCCTCCTCCGATCCAAAAGCTCGTTGTCTGAACAACTTCCAACAATAATTTTCTGATAGTAGTGATAACTGATGGGGCGACACTGTTCCTGTAATGCGGGCAACTGTTGTAAGACGGGTAGTGATCAGAATCGAAGCACCCTTCGATCCACAAGCCAAAACGGATTTCAACTTATCCCATTTCTCTCGGTTCTCATTCCACACGTCATCCAGGACAAGCAAATATCTTTTTCTGCCAAGCACCTCTTGGAGCTGTCTTTGTAATGGTTCTAGATCTAAATCTGCACAAGCATGCCCAGTAGCTGCCTCTATTATAGCTTTTGACAGCCTTTTCAAACTGAACTCTTCAGAAACACATATCCAGATTCTTTGCTCGAAATGATTAACTACCCTCTCATCATGGAAGACGTGCTGGACAATAGTGGTTTTCCCGAGACCGCCAATACCAATAATTGGATAGACTGATAGGTCCTCCAAATTAGAAGCATCACGAACCAAAAAGTCCACAATTTTCGCCTTGTCCGTTTCTCTTCCGTAGAATTGGGGTTGAGTAATGATTGAGGTAGTTTGCCGCCATTCCATGATTTCATTCCTCCTCTCATGAACCGTCTCGCGTAAATGAAACCTCAGTCTTTCCTCAGCAATTTGATCAAGTCTTTGACTGATGTCTTTCAATTTCTTGGCAATTTTGTAACGGAACTTGACATGAGTGGGATTGAAAGAGCACAAACAAGAGGCTTGTACCTTGTCTTGGTATTGCAAGGAAAGGGTATGCGTGGAACACTCATCCAAGATGTCATCCAGCAAGTAAGCCGCATCTCGAAGCTTGCGCAGCCAATCGTTGAGAGATTTGTTGGTGAGTTGCTTCTCCTCAGCATCTTCGAGCACAGCCTTGACTGTAGTGAGTACGCTTGAAAGCCTTCTCATTTCTCCACTGACACCCAGAAACAAACCGAGCTCTTTCTGAATGAGTGAGCTCAAAGTCTCAAGTGCAACCTCAATCACAGCCTCTGTCATCGTGTGAATGACAAGATCCGATGTAGTGAGGTGTGTTTGTCTTGTGGGAAGTTGAGTAGCTAGGTTGAAACCTTGGGAATGCAGTAACGAAGGAAGAAGACGGGCAGAGAGACTTTCGAGTCAAAATGGAAGCAAAACCGCGTGGTACAGTAATGCGGTGCGTGATCAAATGTCGTCGAAAGTACACGGAAGCAAGCAAGCAGCACCACACGAAAATCAGAGACATTGGGTGTGTTTGAATTAGCGGTGGAGAGTAACTTTTTTTCAATCTGACTTTTTCAGAAGTCAGATTGAGTAAAAGTCAGATAGAGTAATGTGATTTATGTTTGGATTGGGTTTTTAAAAAAAAATCAGTTTGAAAAGCTGAAACTTGTTTAGATGATAAATGTAAAAGTAAGTTTGAATGTAAAATGACTTAAAAGGGCATGAATTCTATTAAATAGCACATATCTAATATTAGATATTTAATTATTAAAAGTAAAGAAGTAAGGAAAATAAAAATTATTAAAAGTAAAGAAATTTAATTTAGTATTATAAAGAAATTATATATATAATGTGACTATTTGTCATAAATAAAGTAATGAAAATAAAATTATTAAAATAAGGAAATTTAATTTATTGTTATAAAGAAATTATATATATAATGTGACCATTTTAAAAGAAGTATTGAAAAAAAATTATTAAAAATAAAAAAATTTAAGTTATTACTAGAAGGAAATTGAAAAATAATAAAATACTTAATTAAATATATGTAATGGATAAATATGTAAATTAGAGGTCATACATACGTAGCATTTTTAAACTAAATACATCAAATAACTAATTGGATGCCATGCTCATTGGTCTCTGATTGTGTCACGCACATGATTCATTTGTCTTGATCTAGGTAAATTTGAAGAGGATGTCTCACCAGCTTCATCATGATTGTTTTCGTCAATTGTACCTTCAGATTGAGCTTGTATGAAATCTCTATCAGTTTCAGAATTTTTTCAGAGGAAATTATGTATAACCATTGTAGCACAAACTACTTGGACTTGAGTTTTATACTTGTAACTTGGCATCTTGTCTAAGATGCGAAACTTATTCTTCCACACCCCAAAAGTCCTTTCTATAGTGCACCTCAAACTTGAATGGTAGTAATTGAAAACTTCATTGTAATTTTCAAATCCCGGTTGTTGCCTGAAGTCTGGAAGGTGATAGCGCTCACATCTGTACGGACCAAGATATCCTGGTGGAGTTGGATAGCCAGCATCGACCAAATAATACTTCCCTAATAAATCATGAAATTATGTTGACATTGTGAAATTAATGAAAATATCAAATGAATTCGATATAATTAAAATTGAAGCTACTGAAAATATACCTGGAGGTGGATGAGGGAAATCCAAGGCTGGAGTTGAGACAGCAGTGTTAAACACACGAGCATCATGTGCAGTACCTTCCCATCCCGCTAACACAAAAGTGAAGCACATGTCCCAGTCACATACAGCCATGACATTCTGTGTCGGATATCCCTTTCTCCCGATATATTTGTCTTGCTTCGAAAGACTCACCACACATCGTACATGAGTGCCATCAATTGCTCCTATTGCATCATTGAAATATGGCGAATATCGTTTATCGTTTTTTATTTTTGGGTGAGTTACAGAAAACGTAGGATCGAGTGGTTTGATATATTCCCTGGATAGACTAAGGCAAGCCTGTAATACTCTATGAAAATGCCTGCTTACAGTTTCTCCTGAATGTTGGAACCTTTCTTGAATCATCCTATTACATTGTCCATGACCAACCGTGTTCAAAAACATACCAACAATTTCTTCCACTCCCAGATACTTAGAATTTTGTAAACCATGTTCGACCAGTTTAGAGCATAATCGCATGAACATTTCTTTTTCCATTCGAAACATGTCATAACACCGAATTTCATGATCTCGCAAAATTTCTTGCACCCATAAATTACCTGTTTGCTGACTAGTTCTTCGTGGCTCTTTGCACACATAAGGCATCACATATTGACTCACCAATACAGCTACCTCTTCATATTGTGTTATCTCTTCATCTAAAAAGGAAATCAATTGAGATTGTTCATCTTCTGACTCCTCTTCAGACTGTTCATCTTCCTCCATCCACTCAAACGTAAATTGATTGTTCCAATTTGCCATAGATAATGTCACCTGTGAGTGTGGTTAAATTCAACTGTAAGAATTTTTTTAAACGACAAATAAATATTTTTAGGTATGTGCAAATAAATTTTTTTCTGTTAAACATGCAAAGACATAAAAATTAGTCTAAAAACATTCATAAGCTGCAATTACCACTATAAATAACACATGTAACTTAAAAACATTCAAAACATTCATAATCAGTCAACAAGTTACATAATTTCATAGTTCCACAAACATTAACTTAAAAACATATAATAACAACTCTGGTCCAAGTTAGACAAAATAAAGTCATAACATGCGTCCTAAAATATAGTTCAAGCAGGCGGGGGTTTCAGCCATGATGGTGGATTGTATGCCATATCCTGTAGCCATGCAACCAAGTATTCCGGCTGTCCTTTTAGTGAAACAACCATTTCCCGAACACTCTTGTGCAACAGAAGTCTTAAGCACCGGTTCCGGAAATCAGAGTTACTTGTAATTTCCTCAAGGCAGAGCACTTCGGCCGTAACCTCAGAAATTGATACCTCTTTTATTTTCTTTAGAACTGAGTTCTATCCTTAGATGCAGTAGCTATTTCACTAACTGAATCTGCTATTTGTCTTGAGGCTGGAAGTTTTTGCTTTGTTTGCCTGCTAGACCCTTCACCTCTCTTCCTCTTCCCATGGCTTCCTGAACCACTAGGTGCAGTATTTGCTGTTAAGTTTACGCCTGCCATCTCATCTGTAACTCCTACACTAGCACCTCCAAGATCTTCTTCGCTATCCCCCGATCCTTCAAGGAGATCTGTATCAACTCTATACACATTCTCTTCATCATCCTCTTGTGTCTGAGGTTGGGTTAAAGACGGTGCCAACATATCCTCTCCAGATGCTATCACACCCTTGAATATCGTGTTTAATTCATGAGCAAACTTTAACCCCTGGTACCTAAACTTTTCATATGGGGATTCTCCTGCAAGAATACAATCAACAAAAATAAAAAGCCTATAACAAGTAATAACACAGTTCATAACTCAAGATCAACAATTATATACCAGTTTTTTCTTCTCCCACCACTCATTTGTTGCCACCACTGTATTGTTTATAGGGTCCCAACCTACACCAGTCTCTTTGGTTAAATCAACCCATGTCCTCCAATCCTTCCTCAAGCTATCGAGCCTATTTTTCAATTGCTTCTTCTCATATGATTTTCCTATTTTTGCATTGAATGCAGAGTGAATGTTGTTCCACCCAGTCTTTGAAAATGATGTTCCTTGACGATTTTTCCGGTAGATTTGCTCCATGCATTCTTTAAGTAACACCTCTGTGGTGCTTGTATCCCATGTTGCCTTACTTTTTTCTTTGTTCATAATTCTATTAAAAAATGTCAATCAAGAATGCAAAAGGGAGTTACAGTGAACCAGAGCACTTTTCTTCCAACAATGCAGAAATATTATGTTTCTTTTGTAAATAAATATGAGAGGAAATATCTAATATATATAATATTTATAAATTATAATCTCACAATCATATATATTTAGGTTTGTAAAACATACTTATCAACAATAAGCATTATTGATGAATATATACGCCACTTTTTACAAACACCGATCTTCAGATTTTCAAACTAAAAAACGTATACTTTTCGGAGCTTGTGGCAAATAATTAACAGCAAAGGGGTAGTCAGTTTGCCAGAACCACAAATCATAAATAGAAACATAGAACTACAAATAAATAGAAACACAGATCTTCAAATTTTCAAACTAAAATGCGCCTACGAGTCTGACCTTGTCACAAATAACTAACAGGAAAGACAGACTAAACACAGCCAAAAAACCACATTAATCGATACTACCAAGTCAGTTCTTCCTACTACGCTACTACCAAGTTCGACAGCCAGGCCACACTAATCGAAAGAACATCAGATTAATAGCAAGAACATCATATCAACACTCCTATAACAGCCATGCGTCCGACGGCAGCCAAGAACAATCGAAGACAACCAGATCTGGGACCAAAATCGCGTATCTCTTACCAGGTGAACAAAGGAGACTCTGAGCAGTGTGGATCTGGAGCAGATGCGATCCGGCGGCGGTGAAAACGGACGGCGACGCTTGCAACCGAACAGAGGAAGAAGATGAACGGCGACGGTATTTGAAGGATCTGAACGAACGACCACAGTCTAGCCACTCCCACACAACAACCACAAACTGATAAGACGGCGGGACACGGCGATGACAACGGACGGTGACGCTGGAAGAACTGAACGAACAGAGGAAAGAACTGATGAGACGTTGGAAGAACTTGACGACGACCGACCACACAAGAACCCGAACTGTTGAGACGGCGGGAGACGGCAGGCGCACGGTGGAGACGAAGGGCGCATAGAGGGGATATGGCAGCAGACGTCGGGAGGAGTTTTTAGCTTCAGAGCGTCTTGTGGCTTCTGAGTGCGTGTGTGCGTCTTTTTTTTTTTGTCTTTGAGCTGAAGTGAAGTGAGAGAAAAAACATGCAAAGGGTCAGTTAGGTAAAAAACTTAACACACTCCAACGGTTTCTCAACCTCAGCTGCGCATCCGGAAAAAAAGCTCCTTGTATGAGCTTCTCTTAGAAGCCCATTTAAGCCTCACAAGTCAGATTGGGTAATCGCAGATCCAAACACCCAAAATCACAGCCACCCCAAAAGTCAGATTGGGACGCACGTTTGGGGGCCCAAACGTGATCCCAAACGGACCCATTGTCTTGCAACGTCTGCGAAAAGAAAAGTACAAAGTCATTACCCTTCCTAATTCCTATTTCATAGCGTCAAAATCTTTGGTATTTTAGCCGCAGTTGGGAAAACCCCTTGTATGGGTGTAGGAGGCTTATAAGCTCTTCCACTCTAATTTGTGGGATCCCAAAAGTATGAATAACTTTTTCTAAAAAAACTTTTCTTGACATTACTCCCTCCGTTCCTTATTATAATAGAAAAA